GAGTTTGTGTGTTGTAATATTTTGTGAGTTAATACAAGTAATTTGTTTACTTGTGTTGTCTCTCCAACACTTGTGTTAAAGTTGTGTACTCTAAGTTTTTTTCTCAACAATTGGTATCATAACGGTACGATCGGGGACCGTCTTTAGTGAAGTTTTTTTAGAGTCGTGAGAAGTTTAGTACTTCACAAGATTATTCGTTAATCTTGTTCGGCTTATCAAAGCTCTGCCAACACGATGAGAGATTTTCAAGTTGTTGGAGGAATCAAGAAGTTGAACAACAAAAATTACAACACATGGACAATGTGTATGGAGTCTTACCTACAAGGCCAAGATCTTTGGGATGTCGTCGGCGGTAATGAAGTTACAAGCCCGATGAAAACACCAGTGGCACTTTGAGGAAGTAAAAGATCAAGGCAGGTAAGGTAATGTTTGCCTTAAAAACTACAGTTGAAGATGACATGTTGGAGCACATACAGAAAGCCAAGACACTGAAAGAAGCATGGGACACCTTCGCCACATTATTTTCAAAGAGGAACGAGACAAGATTGCAGCTTCTCGAGAATGAGCTATTATCAATGGCCTAAAGGGACATGACAATTGCGTAGTATTTCCACAAGATAAAGTCTATTTACTGTGAAATTTCTGAATTAGATCCTAGCGTTGCCAGTGTAGAATCCAAGATAAAAAAAAAAAAATTATCCATGGATTGAGACCCGAATATAGAGGGTTCGTTGCCGCTGTACAAGGATGGCCAACCCAACCATCACTTGTTGAGTTTGAGAATTTGTTTGCCGATTAAGAAGCTTTGGCAAAGTAAATGGGAGGGGTCTCGTCAAAAGGTGAGGATGAAGCGTTTTACACCAAAAGTAGAGGCAGCTTTAAGTAGCGTGCTGGTGGTGGATCTAAAAGAAATGGCGACAAGGAAAAAGGACATTAAGGAGAAGGGAGTTATCGACCAGATGAAGCTTCGAAGTATCATGGCAAATGTGGTCAGTCCCAGAATAATAAAAGATTTAAGGGCAAATGCTACAATTATGGAAAGAAGGGCCACATGGCGAAGGATTGCTGGTTTAAAAGGCCTGCAGAAAGTAACGTCCCCAACTCAGAGAAGAAAAATGAAGATTGGAATGCCGTAGTGTCTCTACCTGTGGAGGAAGAATGGGACGCAGAAGCATCATCTTATTGGTGTTCAAAAAATGAGGTGTTGCCCGACCTGAAAGAGTTCGAATATACATTGCAGGGGAAACTAGGAGACCAAGTTGCCCAAATCCAATCAAGTCCCTATGAGCCTGAAAATTTGCTTGCTGAAGACAATGTCGAGCAAGAAGTACCCAAGAGTCTTTGGCAAAATGGTGTGTATCAACAACCACTCCACAATCACAACTAAGGAGATCCACAAGAGTACAAAAGCCAAATGCTAAATATGTCAATGCTGTTATAGCTGATAGAGCAGTAAAAGAACCTAAGACGTTTGAAGATGCATCACAGAGTTCTGAATGGATAAGAACTATGGAAGAGGAAATCATTACGCTTAAGCAGAATCAAACTTGGGATTTGGTGCCAAAGTCAAGGGATGTGAAACCCATATCCTGCAAATGGGCGTACAAGGTAAAACGTCATCCTGATGGTTCAGTTGAAAGGTACAAGGCTCAGTTGGTGGCTCGAGGCTTCTCTTAGCAGTATGGACTAGACTATGATGAAACATTTAGTCTAGTAGCAAAGCTTAAGGCCGTACGAGCCCTACTTCCACTTGCAGCTAACAAGATTGGAATCTATACTACATAGATGTGAAGAATGCTTTCTTGCATGAAGAGTTAGATAGAGAAATCTACATGATGCAACCAATAGGCTTTGAAAGCAAAGCTCATCCCAAGTACGTGTGCAAGTTGAGGAAAGCACTCTACGGTATGAAACAAGCACCAAGGGCATGGTACGGTAAGATTGCAGAACTTCTAAAGCAAAGTGGTTACTCAGTGGCCCATGCAGATTCTAGCTTATTTGTTAAAGATAATGGAGGAAAGTTAGATGTCATGCTGGTGTACGTGGATGATCTAATCATCATTGGCGATGATGAGGTCGAAATTCTTCGAACAAAGGAAAATTTGTCAGTTCGGTTCAAGATGAAAGAACTTGGACAACTCAAGCACTTTCTTGGATTAGAGGTTGATCGCACATAAGAAGAGATATTTTTGTGTCAACAAAAGTATGTAAAAAACTTGTTGCAGAAGTCTGGGATGCTTGAATGCAAGCCAATCTCAACACCGGTGGAACCTAATGCCAAGATGTGTGTACGTGAAGGCAGAGACTTGGAATATGCAACAATGTATCAACAATTGGTAGGTAGTTTGATCTATCTGACTCTGACTCGACCTAACATTTCTTATGCAATTGGTGTAATGAGTCGGTACATGCAAAATCCAAAGAAGCCTCATCTAGAAGCGGTTCGACGAATATTGAGATATGTAAAAAGTACAATTGACTATGGTCTCTTGTACAACAAAGGTGAAGATGGTAAGTAGGTTGGCTATTGTGACACAGATTTTGCAGGAGATCATGACACCAGGAGATCGACCACTGGGTATGTCTTCAGAATTGATTCTGGAGTAGTTTCGTGGTGCAACAAGAGACAACCAACTATGTCTTTTTCAACCACAGAAGCAGAGTATAGAGCAGCAGCAATGGCAGCTCAAGAGAATGCATGGCTGGTACAGTTGATGAGTGATCTACATTAACCAGTAGATTATGCAGTACCATTGTACTATGATAACCAATCGGCAATTTGCTTGGCGGAAAATCCAATCTTTCATGCAAGAACTAAACATGTGGAGGTACACTATCATTTCATTAGAGAGAAGGTCTTGCAGGAAGAGATTGAGATGAGATATATTAATACAGATGAACAAGTTGCAGACTTGTTCACTAAAGGTTTGAGTACCGGCAAGTTCGAAAAGTTTCGTCATCAACTCAACATGGAGGAAAGAATGAGTTGGTGTTGATGGGGAGTGTTAAAGATCAACACCAGCCCAATTGGTGTTTGTGTTGAAGTGTAATCTTGCCTTGGCCCAAGATGGATCGAACCCATGGACAAAGAAATATCAATACACATGCTAGAAAATTCTAGCAAAGTTCAAGTTGGTGGAACAGTTTAGAAGAATGGTGAGGAGAAGGCATCCACACCATCTGTATCAATTAAGAAGACTAAGTGAGAGTGAGAAGTAGGAGTAGTCTTGTGAGGACTATGAGTGATCTAAAGTTTGTCTCTAGAAAGAGTGAGTGTCATAGCTTCAAATAGTGTCTTTGAGAGTTTGTGTGCTGTAATATTTTGTGAGTTAATACAAGTAATTGTTTACTTGTGTTGTCTCTCCAACACTTGTGTTAAAGTTGTGTACTCTAAGTTTTCCCCAACATATATCACTTCACTAATAAAGACAACCTTCGTAAGGGTTGCTGTAGTTCTCTACTTGAAATCCAATTATCTAGCATTGTAACCCTAAGTTACAGACACAAACATAAACTTGAGCAACTTCTATGCATAAGAATCTAGGGTTTCAGACTAACTCAATGGAACCTAACAAGAAATAATATTCCGGACCGCTTAACGGAATCCAACAGAAGACAAGGTTTCGGACCACTCAACGGAACAAATAAGGGAAAAGGATATAAACCACTCAACGAAGTTCATCTCTAGAATACGTATAGTCCCCAATACGGATTAACCAAGTGAGAACATACACCATCTAATAGCATGGTCCTGCAAGACAGATAACTAGGTAGGACCACCGATGGTATAATGTGACCAAGTAAGTAGTGACCCTAAATGTAGATTAACCAAGTGGAGTTAAATTTAGAATGTATATGCCCCCCACCCCCCCAAGACGGACTAACCAGGCGGAACCATATGCATTCCCCCAATAGTGTGGTTCCTTAATGCAGATTAACAAGGCGGAACCACCTATGAAAATAATGTAACTAGGTAGGGCCCGACGAATATCTATTGCCTGAAATCTTAGGAGAGAATTCTTGCTCTAGGGGACAAATGATTTTCGTATGCCTAAGTATTTTTTATTTAGTGACAGTAAACTAAGATTTGAGTACAGAGACATTAACTGAGATTGACTCTTGTGAAAGCTTAGTGAGTTGAAGCACTTAGGCCAATTATATTGAGCAATGTGTTAGGTGTAGCGTCTAAACTTCCGTAGGAGTTTTGTACAACAAGATAGTGGGGGTGCCGCAAAATGCAGACAGTAGCAATAAATTACGGGCTAGGATTATCTCCCCTCATTTTTTCGTTCCATTCCATCCCTTCCTCTCACATTCTCTATTTTGTCTTTCTCTTTCTAAAAAAATTAATATAAGATGTTGATATAGCTTAACCGAGACCGTTCAAATAAGAGGGGAAGGAAGAAGAGGAAAAAAAAGAGAGGAAGGAAGAAGAGGAAAAAAAAAAAAAAAAGAAGAGAGGGGAGAGATTTCTACTTTATAAATTACAAGCAGACACTTTTTGTTTTTTTTTGACAAGGAGAAGCAAACAAACACTTGAAAAAGCAGCGAAAGCAGGCTAAAGGTATCTTATGGTGGTCAAAGATGTGTGTTGTAACTAGTTACACGATTCTGCCTTCACATTCATAGAATGTGCTTTTGAATATTATATTACAGCTAGAGAATTTGATGTCTTAGGATTGATTTCCCTTGCCAATGTTGTCGTGCAGAAATGTCAGCTTTTCTATATATAGCGTGTGTGTATTTCACAAGTTAGACTGGTAGCTAATAACAACTGTTGAAATGTTTCAAACGTGTCACTGTTTGCTTCTGTGGATATCAGACATGCACGTCACTGGCCTTGGAAGATTAATTAGTCCGATGGTATCCATAGCGTTAACGTCATGGCAAACACACTCTAAATATATACATACATACATACATACATACATACATACATATATATATATATAATGGTAGCTAGGTGTCTTTCTGGAGTATGAAGTGGGTAGCAGGCAAAAGATAAGCTAAGTTTAGCTGCTAGCAGATACGAGATGGAGGGATATAACGTTAACTTGAGTGTGAGAAAAGGTGCCTGGACTCGAGAGGAGGACAATCTTCTCAGGCAGTGCATTGAGATTCATGGAGAGGGAAAGTGGAACCAAGTTTCATACAAAGCAGGTATATATGTTAATGTGTATATTTAACTGTGAAAGATGGATATGTGTATTATTTTAAAGCATTTCACTAGTATTTCATTCTAAGACCTTTTATTAAATAGTTTCAAGTTGAAAGTTTTACTTTTATTAATGTTTTAGAACATGTTAATGTGTCTAAAGGTCATACTTGCTCTCACCTGAGTAATCTATTGTGTTTACATATATGGCTAAAACGACCTCTGCGTGTGTGAGGAGGGCCATGTTGAGAGACTTAGACCTGATTTGGTGCTGAGATGATTCTGAAAAAAGCTGATATAAAAAAAAGCTGGGAGCTGTTTTTGTATTTGGTAAACATTCAGCTTCAGCTTTTTTTCACAGTTTTTGGTGAAAAAAAGCCAAAAACAAGAAGCTGCAAAACCCAGCTTTGAAAAATTGGCTTTTTTTTCACATCTGTTTTACATAAAAATTTAGCAAACACTATAATACGGTTTTTTTTTTCTTTTCAAAAGCACTTTTACAAAAAAGTTTACCAAACACTCTGCTGCTTTATTTCACAGCCGCTTATTCTCACAGCACAGCAGAATCAACTTTTTTTCAAAGCACAGCAATACCAAACCAGCCCTTAGACTTGGTTTGGTACTGAGGTAATTATGAAAAAAACTGGTATAAAAAAAAGCTGGCAGCTATTTTTGTGTTTGGTAAACATTCAACTTCAGCTTTTTTTCATAGTTTTGGGTGAAAAACAGCCAAAAACAAGAAGCTGCAAAACCCAGCTTTGAAAAATCGGTTTTTTTCACATCTGTTTTACATAAAAGTTTACCAAACACTATAATTTTTTTCAAAGCACAGCAATACCAAACCAGCCCTTAGTCCCTCATAAATATGTGTTGTTCACGTAGAAAGATGTTATGCGAATATAAACCTTGAATTATGTATGCAGGCTTAAACAGGTGCAGGAAGAGCTGCAGACAAAGATGGTTAAACTATCTGAAGCCAAATATCAAGAGAGGAGACTTTAAAGAGGATGAAGTAGATCTTATACTTAGACTTCACAGGCTTTTGGGAAACAGGTACTAATAAATGGATCAGGATTGCAAATGGTGAGGATCCTCCTGAATAGGCCCATCGGGCCATTCAAATTTTATCTAACGGCTACAAACATGAGATCCCTCTAAAAGTTATAGGCAGTGGGTCATCATTTTTTTTACTTGTAGTGCCACTAGAAAGTGCTTTTTGGTTGATAGTGAGTTGATCTCCATCACTTATCACTTCACTCCTAAGCATGTGGCCTATATTTTAATTGAGGAGGCGCCAATTTGTTCCAAGTTTGTCGATTGGGCCTTGGGCAAGTCGTCACTTAATTTGACATCCATGGGCCTTGGCTATTTACAAAACCCTATGTTAAATATTAAGCCCAACAACCAGTCCACTCCATTTAATTCTAAAGAAGAAAATCGTTTAAGCAATCTCTGTTCTTTTTTTTTTTTTTTTTTGGTCGCTTTATTCATCTTATTTTTCAGCCAAATGTATTCATCATTTTTTTATTCATGCATGTAATGTACTCAGGTGGTCATTGATTGCTAGAAGACTTCCAGGAAGAACAGCGAATGATGTGAAAAATTATTGGTACACTCGATTGCGGATCGATTCTCGCATGAAAACGGTGAAAAATAAATCTCAAGAAACGAGAAAGACCAATGTGATAAGACCTCAGCCCCAAAAATTCATCAAAAGTTCATATTACTTAAGTAGTAAAGAAGCAATTCTAGAACATATTCAATCAGCAGAAGATTTAAGTACGCCATCACAAACGTCGTCGTCAACAAAGAACGGAAATGATTGGTGGGAGACCTTGTTAGAAGGCGAGGATACTTTTGAAAGGGCTGCATGTCCCAGCATTGAGTTAGAGGAAGAACTCTTCACAAGTTTTTGGTTTGATGATCGACTGTCGGCAAGATCATGTGCCAATTTTCCTGAAGAAGGACAAAGTAGAAGTGAATTCTCCTTTAGCATGGACCTTTGGAATCATTCAAAAGAAGAATAGCTAGAGAAAATGATTCTCACTTCTTTAGTATCATCTAGCTTGTGTGCTATTATTTTCCTTGCTTGTAAATGTGGCATGTAAATATCATTAAGCTGACGAGGAATCCTAATCACTGGACTTGTTTTAATAAGTGAACTATTTTTAATAGCGGTTCACAAAATTGGACTTAAATCAAATTTTCTCCAAAATAAATTCAGCAACTACCACAGCCAAGTTCTTTCATGTACAAATGTGGCTGAATCATATTGGCAATAAAAACTAACAACTTAAGGAAATTCTATACTTGTAATCTTCTGCATTTTCAAAGATTCCAAAGGTCCTCCATAAAGGAGACGCCCCTGCCACTCCTTACCTTCATCAGAACTGCCACATGATCTTGTTAATTCGACCATAGCCTTCAACCCAAAAGTCTGAATGGATCTTCATGCAACCCAAGACCAGAAATTGTTGTTCTGTGAAGTACACTATCGGGGATCTCATTTCCACCAACCAGTTTGATTCTCTATTGGATGCGATCATCCTTGCAATTTTTTGCTACAATGGTTTTCTGATTAATTTTGTTCTGCAATCACCACTTCTCAAACACAGTGAACTAAGAATAGTTGAAACTTTGTTGAAAGAAGTTTGTTGTCAGGAATATGTTGTGTATGCATTTTCTTGTATGTTTGATTTTCAAGCAATGGTGTTTACAGCAATGAAGTGGAGGATACACTCTCTCAGAGGTTTTGGCGTTACAATGCTCTAAATGCATACAATAATGCAAAATCATGGGATTAATTTCACAAAAATTGTACACAAAATCACATAATCTACAAACCCCTAGAGCCAGGAACATCAATCCACTGTAATTGGAGCTCCAGTTCCCCACTCTCCACATTTCTCAGCCTGATACACATATTCTGGACAACTTGGCCATCAGTACAGACGATGCAGCTCTCTTCAGCTAGACAGTTTTGCCGGCTTGGTTGGAATCTTGAAATTATGGTTCCACTTGGTACGCCTTGCAAACCCACACGTAAAGCTTGAACAAAAGGACCAATCTCAAACTCAGCATCCCCCATCTTGTCATCAAGACTAAACGTGTCTTTGTCATACACAAACTGCAATATAAGCACCCCAAAAAATTCAGAACAACGTCCAAAGTTTCATTTCATGCCTCACACAGGCCGAAAAATCTCAGGATCAGCCCTGTATGCAAAAGACAATCAATCCAGAATGATAGAAAATAGTACTTACAAGTTTGATAGGAAGGCTTGGATCTGCAACCGAAAGAGTTAAGTCTTCGTTCCACTCGGGATTGACAGTCTTCTTCACTACACGAGTCTTTAATTTCTACCATCACACATTACATTTAGAAACCATAGTGGCAATATGTACAATCAAAACCATTTCGCTCGTTTTGTTTCCTTGTAAACATCTAAATGTAGGACAGAAAATTTGTTTTTTAAGGAAGTGGGAAATTCATCTTCAAAAGATTGAGGACAAAGTTGAAGGGGATCCCAAAAAAATATTGAACAAGCAAAATTGTTTGCTTAATTTACAGCATGCATGTGGTCTTTTAACTATCTAAAACATTAGACAATCTACATAAGTTTGCATTAAAATCTTACAAGATCAAAGAAAATCTTGACCTAGAAGTCAACCACCAACAAGAAATCCATAATCTACATCTGCAAAACCCCCAAGTCCAGGACTAGAACACTAAAACTTGAAAGTTGAAGCAAGAAGGTGGATTGATCTGCAGATAGAATCTTCCTCTTCAATTCAGTGGCATCTCACACTAAAACCCTTCCCTTCTCAATTAATGTCGTTTAGAGTAGTAATAAAGTTTGTAATAAAAATAAAAATAAATGAAACTTGAAAGTCGAAAAAAAAAATCCACAAGTCCAGAAATCGAAGTTACCTGCTTGCCCATTTTGACGACGACATAAGGATCACTGCTTCGGATATCTCGAACAGCAAGGTTCGTCCCTCTCACCACTCGAACTCTAAGAAGACCCAACAGATGTTCCATTCACACACAATTTCTAATTCTAGAACAAGGGATAATATATCTATGTGAGACTTTTGATAGAGATGATCAGTGATTGAAATCCAAATTTCGAACTGGTTTGATCGAATGTCTCCACCATTTTATATCATAAAAGCCAAGTATTTCTCTATTGGTTAGTTGGATTTAGTTGCAACTTGCTAATTAAATAAAAATAATATACTATGCTAATTAATTTCACGGAATATATTTGTGGATTTCTTTCCCATTTGTTTACTGATTTATATTGGTAGATGTCTGCACAAAATTAATTAGTTTCACATGTTTTGGCGACTGATTTGATTCTATTTTATCGTTACTTATTTTTAATTTTAATCGTACGCTACTATTCATTCTATTTTATTTCATTTGGTATGGTTTTGGCGCGTAAATTGACAGGAAAGTTTCTAACGCGGTTGTGGGACGGCCAAATTTACCCTTTCATTGTTGCAGTATTTATTTGACTTGGTCCTATGGGAATTTGACATTTTATTTCTTTCTTTTGGGAATTCCGCTTGGTCTTTTTTTAATGGATTTTTGCTTGGAGTTTAAGGCAAAACGAAGAAGAAATAAATCATAAAAAGTTAGATGAGATTAATTAAAAAATGCACAACATGGGTATTATGAAGATATGTAGGTGAGATTAGTAAATGATTCCTTTTAAATAGTCATTTGCAAATCTCTCTCACATACGTGTTGTAATGCTCATGTAGTGTATTTTTAATCCCTTCCATCTAACTTTTTATGATCTATTTCATCATTATGCCTAAATCTCTTGTAATTACACGTGGTATTTTACCACAGTGGCGAAAAGTAATCATGCCTTTACACCCTAATGCAATTCTATCCCCACCAATCCTTTTTATCTTGTAAAAATTAACAATTTAATCCACTAACATTATCGTCTATCCAAAAAATAATCCCTTGAAATTTGAAAGTTCCTCACCCCAACACACGTCCTTTAAGTTTTACGAGTATAGTATGTGGAAATGTGACAAGCCAACTCAATGATGAGACAAGTATGAGCTACCACAACCACCCTTCACGAATGCTCTTAATCCTCTCCCTTGTTCGTGGCCCTCAATGGTCTTTAGGGAGACCAGTTTCTCCTGTTGATCTGTACTTGTGGTCTTTTTACCAATAGGTTCTTTGCTTCTCACATGAATGGCTTGTGATGAGGAAACCATCGATTGTTAAAATTTCACCTTTGAAGATAGCCTAGATCTTGAGGAAAGGTGTGAAGACAACATCCACTTGGAGGGAAGATTGATTGTTGATAATAAACCCTCAAAACAAGTGGTCAAGGAAGTCTTGCGTAATGCCTAAAACAAAATAAGAGCAATCAAAATCCTTAAGGCTAAGGCAAATATCTTCGCCATCATGGTGGGGGAAGAAGCAGTGACAAGCGATTACTAGTAAGGGAACCCCGGCCCTGGTTCATTAAAGATTACCTCCTCTATGAAATTCTGGTCGTCCTTCCATTCGCTTGACAACATTGTTGTTGATAGCGTTTCTGTTTGATCCAAGCTTATGGAGTCCACGTGATGATAGGATTAAAAGCACACCACAAAGTAGCACACAAATGTCCTATTGATTTTCCTTATTAACACTAAGATTTGTCAATTGTAGCATATGAAAATAAGGGTCTTTCCCGCAGAAGATTGTTTTATCTAACTACTTAAAATGTCACAAAAACTGGGCTGCTGTCACTACTAACCAGCCACCGAAAAATAATTATTAGACCGACTTACACTTATCTAAAGTCTACGAAATTTTATATGCAGATACTAGACACATAGAGCTACATCACACAAATTTTTGGGATTTTTGGAGTTGATTTGATATTTAAATTAAATCGAACAAAAACAGGACAAAAACAGATTTTAAGTAGTTCGCAAATTAAGAAAAACGAGTTAGGGGAATTGCTATCCACCACCAAATAATCATGCAAAAATGTTATGTTTCATTCAAATTCCTTTTATTTCCGGATGAAGATGCTCAAGTTGGCTCAATGTTAGAACTCAACCTATTACTCTTTCTTATGTAGTATGTTAAGATAATGGCGTTGAATTAACTTAGTCCCTAACATGCAATCTAGAATGGCGTGTTCATAGATTTAACAAGTAGAAATCATTAAGAACGAAAAGAGTTTGAGTCATCACAATGCATCATAAGTACTGGCATTGTCTTACTTATCCTAGAAATTGGTTCACATGTTAATCACAATTAACAAGTACTACTCTAGAACATATGTAGGTCCTCATTTGACAAGGGCAGGCACACACATATTCATAGCATTAGAATCCTAGATATGCTTACTAAGTATGCATCCGTAGAAAACACATAAAGAATTCATCAATGAGACAAGTAGTGAATCAATTTTCATCCATTCATAAAAGTAATTCAAACGAAATGTCATAACAAACTTGCAATCATATTCGGGGCTTCAAACAGCCCCTAACTACTAAAAATTTGGTTACACAATCCTTAAGTTAAAACAAAAGATAGACATGAGTTTGAGAAAATAGAACCGAAAGAAATCAACTAAGGCTCTCTCTCTTTCCTTCCTTCCCCAATGCTACTTTTAAACCAATTCTTGCTGCATCATTTTCTTCTCCTTAACTCACCCACTAATAGCCATTTAGTGATGACAATAAGTGAGAGGAAATGTAAAACAATTGTAACTCCTTGGGTAGCCTTTATGTCAATTACTCCCTCTTAATCTTCATCTTTAATTCCATTTCCTCTGATATTTGAATAGGTGTCAGCTAGTTTGTTCTTGATTGCATCAGTTTTGGCTGCTAGATTTATTGGATTTATTGCTTTCAATGGTTTCTTGTCAGTTACAAACTGCTCAGCCTCTTGAGAACCTTTCAGTGTTAAAACGGCCATAACTTCTTCTAGAAAAATGATACTAACAATCCACGAAATGTTCCAGAAAATAGACATCCGTAGCTTTCCAAGCATATAAGGCTCATTCTCTAATTCATTCTGAGTTGTCCACAACTTTCTTCCAAAGTCAGCTGACCTGCACAGGCAGTTTTGACGAATTTGTTACTTAAAATTTCACTTGTGTTATTTTTCTTTTCTTTGCTTGACAAATCCTACAAAACACAAAAACAAAGTAAATAACTCAAAAATATAAGGAACTAACTAAGAAAAGACAAGTAAATTTGATATAAAATATATATAAATATGAGCTTATCACGTGACACTCTGTACCATCGAAAATGCGAGATGTCTTGGTGAGAAGATTGGGGTTATTCTGGAAGTTGAAGATCCTCTAGAAACTGGCTTTCATGGTTTCATGCGACTCCGTGTTCATTTTGATGCTCAAAAGCCACTTATGAGCTTTCCAAGTGATATGTCAAAAAAAAGGGGTTCCAAGTTGATCCACCTCAAATATGAAGATTTAAGAATCTTCTGTTATGGCTAGGGTCTCCTTGGCCATGCCAACGGGTGTTCACAACTGGTGTCATCATTGATATTCAGCGAGAATAGGTTTACATATGAATTAAGGACGGTTTCTCCTTCAAAGTTGTCTTCCTCCCAACGAAGAAGGCTAAATAACTCTTTGGGTTGACAAGCGTCATTGGAGAAGGAAATGGGCGGGAGAGAGTGGTTTTTATGGCTTACTGGATGAAAGTTCGGACACTTCAGCAAACAAATTCTTGGCCGGAAAGTGTGACCGAGAACGTGCTTTTGCGTAGGTTTATGCTACAATAACGGACAAATTCCCCGCTGCTACTATGGACAAATCCTTTGATGCAACGTCTACTTTGCCTAATGCTGCAACTTTTGAATAGACTAACCCTAATACCTCGGTCTTGTGTGTCTCGTCTAGCACCCTGAATCATGGTACTGGTGGGTCATATACGCCTTATCTTAATACCTCTCCTGATTATGGACACATGTTGCACCCAAATGGCTTTGGGGCCCTATTCACGACACTCTTACAATCACAGTCAATGAGCTTTCTCTCTTTAAAACTTGGTGCAATCCAGAATGTGCTCCCTTTGGGCTTTTAACAATGCAAATGGTCTTCTCCAAGCAACTGACAAATTAAGGGCCAGCCTAATTCTTTTCACACTAAGGGATTGCTTCCCTCCTAGGGTTTAATTACACGATATTGAGGATTCGAATTTGTCGAAAATTTCTCCCCCAACCCACATGTGGGGCAAAGAGCAAAAGTCAATTAAGCTTCTACTGTCCCTAAACCTAATCCCCTAACTAAAAAGGCTCTACTCTCCTATGGTTCTAATTGCAGCCGCCCCTTGTACCTTTCCAACCTAAGTAATCGATCATCACAATACAAAGGTGTGGTGTTGACGTCAGGGGTGGAAAGCACAGCTTTAAGGCTAAAAATTCCCACAGTGAGGTTGGAAGACACTAAGAGGAAGTTACGAGTTTGTGCGAAGTAATTGTCAACCCATCCAGAAAACTTGAGGAAGCGAAGAAAAACGAATGGATTGGCTTGGAAACGAAGATATGTTAACATTGCATTGGTGAAGACTGATGACTGTTAGCTCTGTCAACACCTACAAATATCCTACGGCTGCTGATAGCCATATAACATGCATGATGACCATGTGGTGAAAATAAATCACCACAAGTAATTACATTAAAACGTCATCAAATAAAAATAAATAAATCTATTTAAGTCTCATCAAAGGCTATGTCAAAATTATTCAATTTATAAAAAAATTATTTAATCGAAAACTTAGTTTTTTTATAAGATCCACTCATAGAAATATTGAATGTTTCTCCTCGCTAGGTGCCTTATCCTTGTTCGTATCACTTTCACTTGCACCTGTAAGGTATCATTTAGTATCACTCAGTAAATACTAAGATTCACTAATTTTAGTCTAAAACATCGTAAACAACTCATATTTCGAAGAAACAGAGTGTAGCACGAGATTCGAGACATCGACTAACCTAAGGTTAGGTCTCGGGTTCCCAAACGTCGCCGCACGCACCTATGCGGTGACGTTATGCACTGGTTGTTCGCCCATTGATGTGCTGTCGTTGTCGCCGCCATCGCCATAAAACGTGTCGCCATTTACTCACTGCTGCAAAATGGCAAGCATAGGCTACAGCCGTCAGTGCTAGTACCACGCATCGGTAGTGGGTTTCACTTTAAAAAGATAACGGAATATACCTTCGTGGTTAGAAATTCTATTATCTCTAAGGGTAACCACTGTTGTTGCCGTTAATGTAAACGATGACCGCCATTTGCCGTTACCGAATTCTACAAATCTCTAAAAGAATTTGCAGAGCTTCGTTTAATCAAGCCTAAATTTCACGGCTTCGAACTCCAATCATAACCAAAACACACGAAAAAGGTCTAGGACTTTACTAAGTCCAAAATAGAACAAATTGAGTTGAAATCTACCTCGGACTTGACGAAACTCAGCTGGAGTCCTTTGCCGATTTCCTTTTTTTTATTTTTTTTGGGTAAAAGCTCCAAAGAGCAATATTTATTACAAACCAAAAATACAAACTTTACAAACCAAAAAAACAAACACAAACCAAGGGCCCAAAGCTAGCATATGAACAAGCAAAAAATGGGCCAAAGAAAAACAAACAAAAGCACAACTCAAGCAACAGTTTAAGCCCAAAACAGAAAAAAAAAAAAAAAAAACAATTCGAGAAATCAACTGTAGCCACCGCTGCAACATTCCAGCACAATCCATCCAATTCCACTCTTCCAACCTCACGTTAGCTCGTCGATTGTAACATCCAACTCCAAGCACCACCATGTACGCAACCTCAATTGAAGAAATCCAACAACCAGATGAAGAAATCAGCTGCCAGAAGAAAGAAGCCCGTGAGAACCCACAGACAACACTGCTGGTGAAGGCAGACAGAGATGAGAAGGTGGTGGTGTTAGGGACACCCGAGCCTGTGCAAGCACCGAAGCTCTACACACCATCTCAGTAAAGCAGAACTACATATATGAGTAAGGATGAACGAGGACGAGGGACGTAGGTGGGATGAGAAGAAAAGGGCAAATCAAAATAGAGAGCAAGGGGAAAATGCAATCGAAGGGTCGAAAAAGTGACAACGAGATGAAGGGGAGAACAGCTCGAACTGTGCAAATTTGAAGCTTTCACACAGACAGTTAGAAGAACTCTCAAACTGAGAGAAAGTCTCTCAAAAGGAGCGAAAAGTCGTCGGTTTCTGGAAATCGCACAAAGGTTAAAGCTCAACTAATTCACCCAAATTTCAACGCATCGAGCTAGAAAACATTACGAGAAACTTCCTGGAATTGAATCAAGATAGATTAACCTCGGATTCATCGAGTTCCACCTCGCTCGGTGATTCAAGTTTGACTCCTTCCAATTCAAATTCGCTAGTAATGGATTAAAGGATAAAATGTAAAGTTATCGGGTTTATTCTTGTCAAGCTCTAGCGTAATCTAGCAGTTCTACATCATGATCAAGCTGTCAAATTTGTTTTCTCACATCCCATACGATTGATAGCAATACATATGTGGATATGTAGCCCTCTACATTATCACTCTACTTTGACATCTATGAACAAAACACACGACAACGAAGTTATCTAGGTGCAAGGTTATACCGATTGAAAGAGCTAGCGGATGCAAATCTACAGACCTCTAGAACTAGGAACATTAATCCACTGCAACTGCAGTTCCACTTCCCCGCACTCCACATTCCTCAGTCTGAGGACCATGTTTTGGACAACTTTGCCTTTGGACCAAACAATGTAGCTCTCTTCAGCAAGGCAGTTTTTTCTACTTGGTTGTACTTTTGTAATTATGGTTCCATCTGGGAGGCCTTCCAATCCCATCCTCAAGACTTTAATAAATGTACCAATCTCAAACTCTGCATCCCCCATTTTGTCATCGAAACTAAATGTATCTTTGTCATACACAGAAAGCCTGATTGGAAAAATTGCGTCTGCAACTGAAAGAGTCACTTTTTCGTTCCACTCCGGATTCACATTCTTCTTCACCACCCGAGTCTTGAGTTTCTGCTTTAGCAACAAAGGTACAACAAACAATCAGTTGATTATTCTGTTCATAATCTGGAGACACATTTACAAATATTCTAAATTTCTAAAGCAATCCAGTAAAAAATTGCATAGGTATTTTGAACCACGTCCATTTCTCAAAGCTCCAAACCATAAAAGACATAATTCAGAAAGTAATTTGGTGGGCTTACGTGGGTAAAATTAAGTTGGCTAGAGTAGAATGCTCCACTCTCTGCACTCAAGTTTGAATCCTCAATTCCGTAGTTTAAATGAAGTTAGTGTTAATATCTAATCGTTTGCAAAAAAAAAATAAATAAATAAATAAATGAAGTTAGTGTTAATATCTCATCGTTTGCAAAAAAAAAAGTTATTGGTGGAGAACCATACAAAGTGGCGTGTTTTCTAATATTGTTGTCCCGTGATTAATGGGAACAGCTTACTGAACAAACAAATGGCCTTCAACATTACCACCAGAAGATTTAAATGCCTTCCTTTACTTTAATTCACAAAGGAAGAAAAAAATGCCCTTTTGTCTGGGTGAAGTCTTGACTATGAGAAAGCAACAATTATCAATTCTAAGAAAAAGACCGAATTAGATTTAGATGCTTCCAGAAGTAAGACTTAAATCCAAACCAAAAACTAGTACATTTAAAAAATAATAATAAGACAATAGTTATTAGCATTTCAAAATATTCATCATAAACTCAACACCAAAATTTCAATGAAATAATAATAATGAAAAAAAAAAATGCTTGATACTAAACCAATTAAAACTTTCGAGCTATGTTTAATCGAGGAATTTCCATTGGAAAAGCTTGACACTAAACCAATTAAAACTTTCAAGCAATGTTTAAGCGAGGAATTTCCAAGTTTCAATGGAGTGATGCCAAGTCAGTAAGAGAAGTATAAGAACATGTTAGATATGAAATATTATAAATAAATCATATTACGAAGGCACATAAGAGGGATTTGTAAATGATTATTTCTGATTTGGAATTTACAAATATCTCACACATGTCTTTGTAATTCTGATATAGTACGTTTTTAGGGGGTGTGTAGTTAAACTAGGATTTAAGAGGATTTTAAAAGATTTTAAAATCCTAGTGTAGTCAATTAAAAGATCTTAAAGAATTTTGAAATTTATTCAAATATAGGTGTAGTCAATTAAAGGATTCTAAAAAACTTTAAAATACAGGTGTAGTCAATTAAAAGATTTTAAATGATTTTAAAATCCATTTAAATCCAAGTGTATTTAAAAAATTAAGATTTTGGAGGATTTCAATAAGTTGTGAATTTTATGAGATTTGAGAGCCAAAAGTATATATAACTAAGGCTAAAAAGAATCCAACCTCCCCCTAGGATTTCAAATTCTTCCACCACAATTCATCACAATCCATTCAAATTCTTTAATCCATATGAATTTTGTAAGAGTCTTTAATCCTCTTAAATCCTATCAAATCTATCATTTTTAAAATTCTTTAAAATCCTTTAAAATCTTAGTTTGACTACACCCTTTTAATCAACTATACCTAACATTTTGTGATACATTCCTTACTAACTTGATTTCAATCCCTCGACCAAACATAGTCGAGTGATCCCACCGAATCTAAGTATTGTGATCTACAGCCTAAATTTGAAGAAAAGTAACCAAACCCAGAAAACCAACAGTGCAAAAAGATGAAATTAGAAATGCAACACCAAGAAATTAAGGAGAGAGCGAAAACAATTCCAAAAATTAAAAACAGGCAAAATGAATATCCATATACATTACCTGCTTGCCCATGTTGACAACTACGTAAGGATCACTGCTTCTCATGTCTCGAACGGCAAGGTTGACTCCTTTTTGGATGTGAATTCTCAGCAGACCCATCACGTTCTCCATTGGATCAAAGATTTAATTAATATTTTTCTTCACCAAAGACCCCAGGAGCAGGAACAAAGGAGGAGTTGGAGAGTGAGAGATTTATATATTGGGGGATCTCCGTCTAAAGTTCTCTAAATCTCTGTTGAAGTTTAGTGAAGAAATTGGATTGGATGTGCAGTTGGATGCCAAACCACAAGGACGCAATTTGTTTTGCTTCGAGTGACGAGTGACGAGTGACGGGGAAATACTAGTGCGGACTGTGCAGCCTACGCGTTACAACATACAATAGAAGCCAGTGCAATACTTATGTCTGCTCACGCGCTCTTCGAGACTCTTCCACTCGTTTACCTTTTTCAAATTTTCACTTCTCTATTGTTTTATTTTTTTGAATTTTGTAGCCAAACGAAAAATAATCATGTTTATACTCTTCCATGCGGATTTGATCTTTACCAATTATTTTATTTTTTAATAATTTATTATTTAAAATCATTTTTACCGTGAACGTGTTTTTAAAGCTCGTTTGGAAGTATTACTCAATAAAACGCTGTTACTCACTAACACTTTTTGTCAATAACACTTGTTTGTAGGGTTTTAAAGAGAAAATAAAAAGCGTGTTGTTTGACAAGCAACCAAATAGGTGATTTTACATCGCACAAAAGTGCTATCGATACTATAGTGATTGGCTGCCAATGAAAACAGCATTTCAGTAGTGACAAGTCAAGGACAATATTGTCCAAGGAACTCGGCTTCCCTCATACCAGAGATGCATCAAGTTCATCTCCAAGCATGTTGACATCTGCACTGCTCCTTTGAAAAATATGAGAAAGGTGTAAATCTTCTGATTTGATTCTCAAAATATTTTGTTACTTGACATGAACACCAGCCTCCAGCAAAAAGCTAATACATTAAATGAAGAAATTAAAGCAACGAATTCATTTTTCCCTCTCACTTCCAAGTTTGTCGCTGCAAATAGCAATATAATTTCCCTTGATAAAAAAAAATGGCAATATAATTTCTTATTAACATGTAATAAAAAAATATTAGGGTATGTTTGGTAATTTTGTTTCAATTTCTTCTAATGGTTTTCCATTTTTCATTTGGCCTTCTATTCCATTGAAATATTAGGAAAACTAATGAAAATAACTTAAAAACTTTGAGTTTTAACGATAAAGATAAAATAAAGAATAAAGTGAATAGTATCATAATTGACTTTTTAGTGTAAAAATATGATTTTTCGTTAAAATGAACAGTACCGGGAGATTTTCATTAAAGTTTCCAAAGCATATTTGCGGAATTTGAAGGGCATTTTAGACCTTTCAATTTATAAATAGGGGTAGTTTTGGACTTGAAAAACTTTCATTAAAGGGACCAAGTGCTTCTCGTTAAGAGTAGTTCTAGCCTAGTCCATTGTCCCTAGGGTAACCCACTATGTTATCCATCCAGTGAATAGTAACTGCCATTAATGAACAGTAATTGCCTTTTGCATCTCCACCCCTGCACTCAATAGCCCTGGCAATTGGCAATAAAATATTAATATTTTTTTATTTATAAAATAATACAAAATAATTTTATTTGTAATTTCGGATAAGATTCTTTGGTTCTTTTCCCATCAATTTTCTCAACATAATTGGTATGAATAAGACCCCACATTTCTCTCAACTGCATCTCATTACCCGAAATTAGATCATGAGTAACTTTAACCCAGCTAATACACAACATAACATCTTCAATAAGCGTCCAATTCGTACCTGCATCATTAGTCATTTTCTTGGAAAAAAATTGGATTGAAACTTTGAGAGAAAGATAGGTATTTAAGAAAGTATGAAATTGGATTGAAACTTGACAATATATGAAATTAGATTTATAGAAAAGTAAATATATAAAAGTATGAAATTGAATTCAAACTTGACAATATATGTTGAATTTATAGAAAAGTAAATATATAAAACTATAAAATTGGATTCAAACTTGACAATGTATGAAATTGGATTGAAACTTTGAGAAGATATGAAATTGTGGTGTAAGGTAGAAGATAATGAGAAGGTATTTATATAAAAGTAAAATCTTTTTTTTTTAATTTTTCAATTTTTTTTTTCGGATTTTTAATAAATTTTTACATTTTTTTTTTAATTTTTATTCACCTAATTAATCTATACCATTGGATTTAAACCAATTTAAATTCCAACACTCCAAATTGTGCCACGTGGCACAATGGTAACATTTATGATTTTTTAATTGTTTTTTCTTTTTCTTTATTTATTTATTTTTAAGTCTAATAACGTGGACCGTTGATCTCAGATCTAACAGCTGGTATTAAATGAAGTTTTTTTTAATTTTTTTTTACTGTTGGAAATCCAATGGTCCAAAATTTATATCTGTTGTAATCCAACGGCCATGGGGAAGCCACGTGGCTCCCCAAAGGTAAGATTTTTGGGTGCCCCACGGGCCCCAATTTCTGATTTTATGTTGAATTACGCGCGCTTTAAGTCCACGCGCTTGACAAAAAAAACAAAAAAAGCGCGGCTGACATCTCCCTGACGTCAGCCCACGTCAGATGGCCATCGGGCGCTCGGGCCAGCACGAATCCACAGCTCGCTTGCTCGAGCCTGCTCCGGCTCCATTGCCAACTCCCGCTGGACTTCCTCCCTCAGGCAATAGCCCACTGTTCCTCAGCCCGTCCCTCCAGCAACTGCTCCCGCTGGAGCTGCTCTAAATAGACCAAGAGCATCTCAATTTTTCTCTTGGCAGCACTTTTGAGAAAATGCACCTCCTAGGTAATTTTATTAAAAAAAAATCACTCCAAGTAATTCAACTTCTTATCAAAAGTCCTTTTATAATGTGCATTTCAACATCATGGTGTGATATGTGGTATCTTTAAAAAGTTATAATATAAGTTGATGCCTCTTTTAGTATTGATGGGAGTACTCAAAGACGTAGAGTGGACGTAGTTTTGTCCTTGAACCTGGACCATTATGACTTTCGTGGGAGTTTTTTTTTATTTTTTATTTTTTATTTAATAAACGATATCATCTACATTTAAGGGTGAAGAAGTGAGCTAAACATTACATTAGACTAGTTATGATAATATGATTCAAAATCTTCTATGGTAAGAATCGAATTTAAAACTTTTTACTTATAAATAAAAAAGAATATCACTAGACTGTAGTATTAAGTGGCTCGTCGGGGTTATTTATTAAAGTAGTTGGAAATGCCCCACTTTATTGATAATTTTGTCATATATAGCACTAAAATGTACTCAATTTTGGCATCAACAACTTTACACCCCATAATTTGTTTACTTAGATGCATGACTGGTTAAGCTGAAATTAAATAAACAGTATTTTAGTGACTAAAATTGGAAAATGAAATTGTTCAAACATTGTTAAGTATAACAGCAAGAATGATAGTATGATGAAAAAAATAATACATAAAATTAAAAAGCTTCTAACGGGTTCGAAATCCGTTACTGGTGTGGAAGTCAAAGTTGTGGTCAGAAAAGGCTAAAATGTCTATGTGAGTCTTATTGGCCCTAAAAAAGAAGTGGATAACCGTGGCTTGCCGTCTGTTGTTCTCTTTTTAACCAAACAAAAAAAAAAAAAAAATCTAACTAATAACTATAGATGGAGACACGTTTAGTTGATCTGCCAATTTGTATTTTTTTAGGACAAAATTTCAGTCATCCCTGTCACAATGGCACAATTTTTGCAATAATTGACATATAAATTATAAAAACGGTTCATTTTAAATGAATGAATAAAATAAATAGTGCCAACGAGACACATACTCATTTATTTGTTAGTATCCCATTTAAAAAAAATGTAAAACTATGCTACCTCCCATAAATTCTTCCGATAAATAAGGTGGAAACCATTTGCTCGTCACTACCCGATATTGTTTTGCATATTTTTGTTCAACGAATTGTTTTTTCATTTGTTGTGTTAAGTGTATAATGTAGCATTCATTGTCTCGGTTTCCCAAAAAAGAAAAAAAAAAAAAAAAAAGTAGCATTGTCTCAAAACCAGAGACCATGGTTGTAATTGGTTGGCTTTTTTTTTTTCTCTCTCTCTAAAAAGATGATGACCTACTGGCTATCATGTCAGTCCACTCTTTTGCGAGTCGGGAAAATTCACAATAGCATTTTAGCTTCTTTTTGGTTATCATTGTGTAATTTATCAGTATCAGAAATCGAAGCACGTTCACAATAATTAACTTTCATATTAAATGTTGCTTTTTCAATTTTGAAAAAAAAAAAAATTAACTAAAATTAAGTGAAAAGACATTTAGTATATCATTATGTGTATGATGAGCATACATCAAAATTTAAGATGGTGAATAAAAACACTCCCTATGTTGCATATGTGTTTTTTATGCATTTGGTGCCAAAGAAAATTAAATAATATCAATCCGATGGTGTATTTAACAATATTTTGTCAATCCCGACCAAAAAAAACAATGATATTGGGTGCAATCCTAATGTAGTTTTAAGCTATTTGCGGTCCAAATGTTCTGTTTATAAATTTACACAAATTGCCATTAGTCTAATCAACACCCAAATAAATACCAAGAAATATCAAGATTGACGTAACCATTGTCTGGAAGCTCCAATTTCGGCAACAATCACGTTGAATGCGTTTTGAAAATTGCACTGGCTGTCTAATAAAAATTAAACGCAACACCCATGTAATTGAGTATTAAACCTGTTTTTTTTTTTTTTTTTTTTTTTTTTTTTCTTCGAACAAAGATATTAAGTGATAAACCTCAACTTTAAAATTTCAGCATAATTGATAATAAGCTTTAATCCAGCAGCCCAAATAAAGGTAAAAGGGATATCATCTATTACATATAAAGTCGGAGGTGTGATGAACAGTGAAACACAGTGAAGATCAGATTTTTGATAGCCAATTATCAATTTACCCTTGCATAATTTGAAATATGATTTTGGACAAGTTTTGAATTTTTTTGGCTGAGAGGCATTTTGCGGGTGACACCAAAGTTTTTGTCTCATGTGTAAAGACCAAAAAAATGAAAGGAAAGAGAGAAAATAATAAACAAATGACAAAATTGATGGTGCCCACATGATATAAAAAATGTATTTCATACGTGGATAATAATATGATTAAATAAGCTGTCAAATAATTTTTTTTTTTATGTAACAAACTATATTATCTACACTAAGGGGAGGAGTGGGCTTAGCCTCACAATGGGCTAGCAATAATGTGATTCGATCAGTTGTTTATTAAACAT